AAAGTTGCCAAACAGTTGGCCCTATAATAGGAAAATAATCCTGCATTGTCTGGGTAGACCCAATATAATCATCTTTGTTTGAAGATGGAGGGCGATGGCCACGAGCTGAGAATTGCAAGCAGCCTCTAGAAACTGGAAAAGGAAAGGAAGTGGATCCTACTTTATAAGAAAGGCTTTAAAATATATAATTCTACAGGCCTGTATTACACAATAATAATTATAAAAATAAGCTCTTTAAAAATAAATGAAATGAAATCACTGTGGAATCCAGAAGCTGAAAGTCATTCAATTCTTACTCCCTTAATAGACTGTATTCTCCTTACTCAGGAAGACTTTGAACTCGTTACTTTTACTAAAGAGAATCACATAACACACTCAACTGTAATATACTTATTACACTGTAAAGAAGTCTGAAATAGTGATGTTTTCCTATGTCTTAACCATTTTGTGTAAAATTGCTGCTATAAGAAAGCAATATTTTAATACATAGCCTATATAATAAATGCTTTATATTTATAATTTTATATTATATTTCTAATACAATCATGCTTTCCTACATGGCACAATTTCAGGAGAGAGGTATTACCTCTATACTTTGGAGCCCGTCATGCCTGGTTCAAATCCAATGCGCTTTTAAGCTTTATCCAACCTGTAGAGAGTTATTAATTTGCCTTTCTGAGCCTCATTGTTCCCTTCTGTGAAAAGGGATACCACCAGCCTTGCAGAGTTAGTGTAAAGCTAAATGAGTTAATGTGTGTAATATGTCATACATGTTATGATGATTTGAAAACACTGAGTTAAGTCAGGGGTCAGCAAACTTTTTCTGTAAATACTTTATGATAGTAAATACTTTCTGTTTTCTTGGTCATACATTATAAAAACCAATCAACCCCGCCACTAAGAGACAAAAATAGACAATATGAGCTAATTTACATTGGCCATGCTCCCATAAAACTGTGCCAAAAAAGACTGCAGGGTGGCCCACAAGCCTGTTTGCTGACCCCTGATACAAATCCAGCACAGTATCCGGCACACAGTGGGCCCTCGGTAGCTGACAGCTCTGTAATCTCCTTTGTTTCTCCCTATCACAGTCAACAAACACAATCTTTTATGGCTCCTGAGATTCAGTCACCATTCTATCATTCCTAACTTCCAAAATATTCAAAACTACCTATAATGATGCTACGAAAGCTTCTGGGGCTCTCTCTCTGCTGCCAACATCCAAACAACTGATTGATTATCTTCCATGATGTTACTGGACTGCAGATGCTAAGGTAGACAGGAACTTCAGGACTGTTGGTTCAGCTCATACTTAAATCCCTTCTATGACCCATCTCACAAATAGCTGTCCAACATGTCTGAATACCTCCAATGAAAGGGCAGTAGTCTAAGTGTCTTTTCTCGTCTGGTAGCTTGGAGTTTTTCTGAAAGCTCTCTATTGTGAGTTTAAGTTCAATATGGCTCGGGGACTTCCCCGGTGGTCCAGCGGTGAAGACTCACACTTCCGCTGCACAGGGGATGGGTTCACTCATTGGTCCAGGAACTAAGATCCCACATGCCACGCAGTGTGGCCAAAAAAGGAGTTCAATGCGGTTAAACTTGGTCAGCATGTACTGAGTCCCTACTATATTCCAGAGACTACTACATGCTGCAGACACAAAGATGAATAAGATATGACCTCTACCTCCAACTCTTCACTGGACTTTCTTTGCCTGTTATTCTCACTAAAACAAGACACATACTCTCTCCCCTTCTGAGCCCTCCAGTTTTCAAACTCCCAATTCCTTCAACAATCCTTTACAAATTCTCTCATCCTCCTTTACACTGCCTTCCTCTGGACATAAAATCACACAGGCCCTACAAAGAAGCCCAGCCATGGCTGGATGATGGAGAACAAAGCCAACTTACCACTATGTAGATTTAGTGTCAAAAATCTAAACCGTATTTGCCTCTTGAGAACTAACCCAGCCTCATTTACTTAACTACACCTATATCCCTTTAATTCTCCAAATCGTTCTACAGAATTAGAGCTAAGTGACAGATTTTTAGATGATATGGCAACTATTAACATTTTTTCTTAAAGAAAAGGAAGATTTTAGCCCAAATAACAATCAGGGAACCTATTTTAACTTGATCCAGTCTGATGGGCAGCAGAACTAATAACAGCATTTCTAGACTGAATTGATCCCCCAAAAAAAGATTTTTAATTTTAAAAAAATTTTAAAGGTAAATATACTAAAAACTCCAATTTAAGGATTGCAATTGTTAGACCAGATGTTTAAAAAAGAAAATAAAATATAAAATAGTATTTCTTATATTAAGGTTAAGCAGTGTTTTTAAAATGTGTCTATGTGATGGATCCTAAAGCAAAATGTGCTTCTTACTATGGTTCATGGTCAAAAGTTATTGAGAATCACTGTTCTAGACCATGCCATCTGCTATAGAAACAGAAGAATGATCCTTCTCTTATGTCTTGTAAAATAGATAAATTGGGCTTTAGAAAATTAAAACTTCTATTCTTCAAAAGACACCATCAAGAAGTACAAAGACAACCTACACAATAATTAAAAAATTACAAATCATGTATTTGAAAAGAGACTTCTATCTAGAACTATAGAATTCTTACAACTCAACAGTAAAAAGAAAAACAGCCCAAGTAAAAATGGGCAAAGGATGTAAATAGATATTTCTCCAAAAAAAAAAAATATATATAAATGGCCAACAGGCACATGAAAAAAATGTTCAATATCATTAGTCATTAGGGAAAAGCAAATGAAAACCATACTGAGATACCACTTTGTACCACTTTGCAGGGCTAAAATAAAAAAGACAATAAGAAATGCTAGAATATAAATGTGAAAAAATTAGAACCCTCATACATTGCTGGTGGAATCATAAAATGATAAGCAATTTGTCACTTTCTCAAAATGTTAGATGACTCAGCAATTCCAATCCTAGGTATATACACAAGAGAATTGAACACCTATGTCCACACAAAAACTTGTACACAAATATCCAGAGCAGCATTATTTATAATAGCCATGAAGCAGAAACAACCCAAATATCCATCAACTGATAAATGGATAAATATGTGATATATCCATACAATGGAATATTTTTCAGCAGTGAAACAGAAAGAAGTCCTAAAATATGCTACAACATTCTGAATCTTAAAAATACTATGCTAAGCTGAAGGAAGCTAGACCCCAAAGGCCACATATAAGATTTCATTTATATCAAATGTCCATAGTAGTCAAGTCCATAGAGGCAGAAAGTAGATTAGTGGTTGCCAGGGGCTGTGGGTGTTGGGGGGTGGGGGGGTGGGGTCGGGAATTGGGAGTCAACATTAATGGGTACAAGGGTTCTCTTTCAGGTCATGAAAACTAAAATTAGATTGTGGTGATGGTTGCACAAATGGGAATATACTAAGAACCACTGAACTGTATACTTTAAAGGGGTAATTTTACAGGATGTGAATTGTATTTCAGTAAAGCTGCTATAAAAATTTTTTAAACTCCTTTTAAACTCCTTTATCAAAACAGTTTAGTGGAGGCTTCAAGTTCCTTCAAGTTTTTATCACTTATTTCCAGCTAAATTTTTGAATCCTCATCTCCCGCTATCCTCCCTATAGCACCTTCTGCCTGTACCCTAAACACACAAGCCATTTTATCATCCCATGCCTTTGCACATTCATGCTGCCAAGAATGTCATACGGTTTTCTCTTTCTATTGAACTCATGTATCTTTCAAGACCAAATACAATTTCCTTCAAGAAGTCACCTCTTACTCCTCCAGACAAAGTTGATCATGCCCTCTATACTGTAAGTACTGGTTGATTTATGTGCATCTGCCCTTTTAATGGGCTTCCCAGGTGGCGCTAGGATGCAGGGATGTAGGAGATGGGGGTTCAATCCTGGGTCAGGAAGATCCCCTGGAGAAGGGAAGGGCAACCCACTCTAGTGTTCTTGCCTAGAGAATTCCATGGACAGAGAAACCTGCCGAGTTACTGTCCACAGGGTCACAAAGAGATGAACATGACTGAAGTGACTCACACATACACAACCTGCTAACAGACTGAACTTGAGTTTATTAGACAGTTTGATATTCAGAACTAGAACCTAATGCTTATAAATACTTAGTAAATGTTTACTGAACAAATGAATTATGAAACATTTCCTCACTACTGACGAGAAACACTCCTATTTTCTTCTCCAACTAGTTTAACTCGTAAAATCCATACAAATATAACTTTAGTGCTGACCTTTAGAGACCAGTAAAATGAAATAAAAAGACAAATTTGAGGCCAACCTTGAGACTTATGGAAAATTACTATAAATTAACATTTCACGGGGGTTCATAGTTTAGATACTTATCATTGTTGACTGAACACACTTACTGAAGTCAACACTCTTTTATTCAACATATTAAATGTGTTGTTTAACTCTGGTAACCACAGCTGTGACTTAGTTAACGATCTCAATAAATCCTACTTAAATCAGAGACAGGAAAAAATTATGCAAATGAATTCTTATCTGTTTTTCTGCCCAAGGCATATTTGATAACAGATAAAACATACTCCAAATAGTCTCTACTTAATAGTCAAGAAGCCATTTGAGGTTTTATTTGGATCAAAATCAAAGAAGAAGAGAAGCCTGCTATGTTCACAAATGATTTTATTTCAGAAAGAAATTACACATTAAAAAGAAGACATAGTTAAGAGCTTACATTCATGTATGAAAGTGACTCTAAGAAAGTAAACAGTTATTAATATATAAAGCGCATGATTTAAAAGACAGTAATAGATAATGACAGATGGGCTTGCCTTAGGTTCACCCACAAAATAGTATCTTTTGTCTAAAAACAAAGATATTGGTCTTTGAGACAGCTCTTTAGACATGAGTTTGTACTTCCAGTGGACTTGAAAAATCAAACCAATCACACCAGGCTCCACATAGGCTATCACACCCATACTCATCAAGCAAGAAGGAGACCATCCATCAATTAAACCTTGCAGCTAGACAGGATGTCTTCCACTAATCTCTTGTAAACCCAGGCATCACCCTTAAGCCGCTGCCTCCTGATACCCACCACATCAGGTTTTTGAAGCTGGCACACTTCTAGTTCAAACTGCATTGTCACTTTGCCAAAATCTGACTGTGTTTGACACTTCAGTGTATAGCTGTGAAAAACAAGATAAGAAGCCAGTTAGCAGGAGAATCATGAATATTCTGTATAATACAAGAGACTTCTAAGCCTCTAGGAGGCCAGTGGGGAAAATGAACCATGATTTCATATTAAGCAATGTAGTACTGCTTACAGTTTCCAGATGACCTAGCTATGCATTAGTGATGGAGTATGACTAGTGTTTCCCCAAAAGCTGAACCAGAATCTTTAAAAAAAAAAAAAAGAAAGAAAGAAAAGCTGAAAAGGCTTATGTCAGAATTCTCCCTTGCTCCAAAGAAAAGTGCTTTATTCATAGCTATACAAGCCACTCATGCTTAAGAAATCTTCTGGCATCCTTTATGCAACCCTTTCAATGGTGTAACTTGTAAACGTTAGGCCATTTCCACAATGCTGACAACAAAAGAAAGCAGAGGGAACATGAAGGATATTTTATTTTGTGCACTTCATCAGAAACTTCTGTCTTTCATACAAATTAAGCTGAAGCCACCAACTGGTTAGTAAGAAACACGTTTTTGAGGTTTTTCTAATAGTGAAGCGAAAGTCGTTCAGTTGTGTCTCACTCTTTGCAACTCCACGGACTATACAGTCCATGGAATTCTCCAGGCCAGAATACTGGAGTGCGTAGCCTTTCCATTCTCCAGGGGACCTTCCCAACCCAGGGATCAAACCCAGGTCTCCCACTTTGCAGGCAGATTCTTTACCAGCTGAGCCACAAGGGAAGCCCTATTTTCTAATAGTAATAAGAGGTTATGATCATTACAACACTTTAGGGTAGAGTTATAAAATATATCGCTCTTTTTCTTACTTGTATCCTTTGGGGCTTGATCTATTAAAAATAAGCAGTCGATACCAGAAATGCCATAAGTTATACCCTGCAGTTAAGGTTTCTGATGGGAAGAGGAAGCACAGAGCGATGTAGTCACATCAAAGATAAAACATGATTCTTCCTCATTGGAAAAAGACAGTAATGGAATATAACAGAGATTAGTGACACCACACCACTGAAAAGTTCGTTATTCTGTTTTGTCACAAAGAAAGTAAAAACAGGTAAGATAAAAAGAAAAATAAGGGATCAAGGCAGACCTTTGGGTGGATCAGGAAGTTCAAGGAACAGATTATTGGTTAATAGCCAGTTAGTGATCTGACAGATTATATGCTAAAGGAAAAATAATTGAAAGCTTTCTCATATAGATGCGGTGAGAGGTTCTGCAAATGTGAATAAACCTCAAGCATGAAGAGCAAGTCAGGGTTAGATGTGTTCTAATGACATCTGAAGAAGAAAGCCAGGGTTCACATAAGGAGTGCTTGCCAACACTTAGAGATAGTGAAAAGTAAAATTACTGTTGCAAAAGATTCTTTCTTAAAATCTTCTATTGACTGTTTCGTTTAAATATTTTTGTTAATTTATTAGTGGCTCTTCTTTGTCCTTGTTCAGTCACTAAGTCAAGTCCAACTCTTTGCAACCTTTGACTACAGCACACCAGGCTTCCCTGTCCATCACTATCTCCCAGAGTTTGCTAAAATTCAAGTCCATCGAGTCAGCGATGCTATCCAACCATCTCATCCTCTGTTGCCCCCTTTTCCTTTTGCCTTCAATCTTTCCCAGCATTGGCGACTTTTCCAATAGGTCAGTTCTTTGCATCAGGTAGCCGAAGTATTGGAGCTTCAGCATCAGTTCTTCCAATGAATATGAAGGGTTGATTTCCTTTTGGATGGACTGGTTTGATCTCCTTGCAGCCCAAGGGACTCTCAAGAGTCTTCTCTCCCACCACAATTCGAATGCAGCAATTCTTTGGCACCCAGCCTTCTTTGTGATCCAATTCTCACGTCTGTACATGACTACTGGAAAAACCATAGCTCTGACTATACAGACCTCTGTTGGCAAAGTGGTATCTCTGCTTTGTAATACACTGTCTAGGTTTATCATGGCTTTCCTTCCAAGGAGCAAGAGTCTTTTAATTTCATGGCTGCAGTCATGTCTGCAGTGATTCTGGAGCTCAAAAATAAAATCTGTCACTGTTTCCATTTTTTTCCCCCTTCTATTTGCCATGAAGTGATGGGACTAGATGCCATGATTTTAGTATTTTGAATGCTGAGTTTTAAGTCAGTTTTTTCATTCTTCTAGTTTAGTGCTTTCATTCTTCTATTAGTGTTTTAATAATGCAATTTTAGAGAGACATAACTAAGTGGAAATGCTCAGAAATATGAACATCTTCAGTAACCAGAAGAGTTCTGGCTGTCCAAACCAAGAGATCATGACCCAGTAGGTTCTGAGGGCAGTTCATTCAACAGTGGGAAAGAGATAAAGTGACATACTTTCTAAAGTACTGAAGACCAATCCTATCACACAGACATCATAAAGAGGAGTGTGTGTGTGTGTGTGTGTGTGTGTGTGTGTGTGTGTGTGTGTGTGTGTGTGTGTGTGTGTGTGTGTGTGTGTATATATATATATCTCCTTGATTTGTTTGAGGTATCTCATAAATTTAGATTACAACTTAGAAATATTATTGTTAAGCAGAACATTAAAGAAAAATAGAAGATGCAAAAGAAAACTGGAAGAAATTCAGATTTTTCTATTTTGAAAAGCCTAACTTTGAACGTGGTGACAATATGGTCACTTAAAAAACTTCTAAAGCCCATATAAAACAAAAGAGAATAAATTATTAACACAGACTATCAAAAAAGCTTTTTTGGAAAAAATGAGATGGAAGAAATACACACTTTTAATAAGGGGAAAGGGGACTCAAACTATATTTTCTCAGAGTTCAAAAGACATCAAGTAATAGATGCAAACATGCTTCTTACCCCTTCTGGACAAAGTCAACGTGCTTCTTTGGAAGAACAGACATTATTTCATTCAAGAGTTGATCTGGATTCACTAATCTGGTTGCAGTCACATTATAGTGAGGCTTAAAAAAGAAAAAGGAAGGGTGAGAAGTAAATCCTTACATCAACACAAAGACCATCCTATCTGATTTAGAGATCCCAAACTCCTCAGTATAGTACCATTTCAAGTGGAAGTATTTCAAGACAAACAGAATTTACAACCAACTGTTAGTAAGTTGGACTGAGATGGTACTGGGAGAGCCTAAAGAAATCATGTTTATTAGTAATAACCTCCATATCATCATTTTTATACTTGCATCTTCCTCTCCTACCAGCTTTTTAAATAAGTAAATAAATATTAAATAATGTCTATCTCTCTGAGCTCTATCTATTTCCCCCTTCCTACACTGTGATAAAGATTCCTGCAGTATAAACTGTGAGAAAACAAATGCCCTAGAAAATTTCACTTGTATATAGTTGGATGTGTTTCCTTAATTCTTTCTTGATTACTTAAGGAATTTTATAGAATCCCAGGAGCTGATTCTATGACAATTCTATGAAGGAATGAATGTAACAGGTTTTTCTCATTCCCTCACAGCATACTTCTCAGAAATAATTTCATTCCTAATTCCTAATTCCATCCATTCATTCAACAACTGTTTACTGAAGGCTTCCAAGGCGCCAGGTGCTGTTTTAACAGGTCCCAGGACAAGAGTCCCTGCCTTCCTAGTGCCACCTTTACTGCCAAACAAAATTACGCCTTCTGTGTGTTTAAGATTTAAGTTCTTTCCATAAATAACAAAATGCTGAGGTGGAAGAGACCCCACTACCTTACGTTTCAAATGAAGAACCTAGGACCCAAAGAAGAAATACAAGTTTCTTAAGATGGGGTTTCCCAAAATGTGATAAAAAACTATAACTGGACTTGTATACTTTTTTTTGGGTCACACTGCAGAGCACGCGGGATCTTAGTGCCCTGACGAGAGTTCAAGCCTGTACCCCGCACAGCAGGAGTATGGAGCCTGAACCACTAGACCACCAGGGAACTCCCCAGATAAATATTTTTATGTATTTGTTCCAATCTGATTTAGAAAAATATAATTAGCAAAACTAATAATATATGGTTTCCTTTTAAATAAATACAAGCTTTTAAAAAGTTAGTCATCTTGATTGTGGTGGTTTCACAAGTACATTGTGTATGCCAAACTATATGAATTTTACATTTTTAATATATGCAGATTATTGTATGTCATTTATACCTCTAAATCTATTTTAATTCTGCATCACATAATGCTCACTTTGGCAGCACATATACTAAAATGCATCATATAAAGAAAGTATCAGAAAAATAACAGTGCAGATTATACACTGATATGCCGATATAAAGGTGACTATCAAATGACTGGCATTCAGGAACCTCAGTTTCAGGTTATAAAAGGAACAAGAGGCACAGCTGGGACAAGCTCCTCTGTCTCTTGGCTTCCAACTCAGGACTTTTTTCACCAAATTAACTTGGTCTTTCCAAGATAATAACAAACTACACACTTTCAAATCACAATTCAAGTGATTCCTTTTGTAAAATAAAGAAGTGATCTTATTTTATCTATTTAAAATTCAGATTTTTAAAGACTGCTTCCTAAAAGAGGGCTTAACCACATACAGTTTGCTATCTTAAAAAGCTAAGGTGTTCTTCATACCATCTTTTACCTTTTTTTTTGCCCCATCTCACAGCTTGTGGGATCTTAGTTCCCCAAGGGAGCAAACCTATGTTCCCTGCAGTGGGAGCACTGGACCACCAGGAAAATCCCTTTGTACCATCCTTTTAATTTTCTGTAAGTTTATAATTTTTAACTTAACAACCAGGTGGAAAAATGAGGCTAATCTCCTAAAGCAAGTCCTTCAGTTCTGAAAAACTTTAAACATTAGAAAGGGTTAAAGATCCGAAGTTATATAAAGTTTTAGATGCTCGACATGTGCTAATTAGAACTGTGGTTCTGCTACACTGGGGTTAAAATGCTCAACACTGACAAAAATAATGATATTTGACACTGGAACACCTTATATCAATAAAGCATTTCACACGCAATGTAGCATTTCATACAGTCTTGTTTACATACCCCAACTCTGTGAAGCTGCCAGAGTAGACATTCTCTCCAGTTTTTACAAATAAAGACATTGAGAAAGTCAGAGATCAAATGACTTAGCCAAGCTACACTGTATGAAGCTGAGGCTGCAACCCAGGCTTCTCATTCCTATCTTGTCATTTTTCTCCCACATCTGGAAGCACTGGGAAATGCCTAGAAAGCCAACTAATATCACAGCAGTTCCTACTGAAAAATGCATTCAAGTTCCAAACAGTTTACATAGGTGAACATTTCAAGGATGTTATCCCTTAGTATTTGATAACTGCTTAACATCTCAATAATGTATATAATTGGACAAGTTTCCTTAATCTTCTTCATTTACTATTCTCATAGAAATGACATATGATCTTCATAATCCCAGTGTCAGGGTTTGAAACACCTCACAACTGTCTCCAACTAAATAAATCTCAGAATAAAAGGATAAAATATGCCTAATAAACAGTCATATGAAACACAAAACTCCAGTGAATTATGTAGGTTCTACAAGGCAACAGACACTAATGGAGAAGTCCTATCTTCTCTCACTTTAAGACAGAACATAAATGGGATCTCAGAACACTCTCCCCTGAGGCACCCAGCCTCCCTTCTGGGCCTGCTGCCATTCCCCTCACACACACCACACTCAAAGTTCAAACTAACTTCCCCTGCGTTCAAATACTCTGTGAGGGCCTACAAACACACCCGTGCGTCAGGGAGTCTTCTGTGTACCAGAAACAGGGCAGCTCAGCACAAGCTCCCCCCTTGAGACAATGCCTCACACGCGCCCCGTGCTTCCTCATCTCCTCGTTGCCTCTGCGATTAGTCCCCCTACCTGAACCCAAGTATTTCAATTTCAGTTATCTGTCCCCCCAAAAGACCAACGGTATGTAATTTACCTCTGCATTAAGTCCACTGCATAGTAACATGCATACTTTAGGTGCTCAAAAAATATGTACATGTTAGCTAAACAGATGAATAAGTACATTAAAAATACTAATCAATGCACGCATTCAGTTTTTCTTTGGGAAAAAAAAATATAGTACAATTAGCAGTCAGCTTCTAAAATCCATACTAAAGAATTTCGCCCCACCTACCTTTAGCCTTCTTGGCCCATCTCTGACACAGCCTTTCCTTTTGCTCCTGGTAAGCACTGTGATGACCTTATCCAACCCCTTCTCGAGGCTGCCAAACACTTTGGTTCCTTTTCTTTTTGGAGTTTCCTCCACATGTACTTGGTTGAGATTGAGTTCTACTGAGCGACACCTGAGGGGAAAAAAAAAACAAAAACCTCATGAGTAGGAGCTGGACTTCCACCTGTTGGCCCCTCACAGAGGTGCTTTTGTCCTGCCTGACAGGTGCCAGGTATGCCCAGGCCAGGACATCTTATTCTGCAGGCAGCATGAAAGCCATCTCCCACTCGAATGCAGTCATCACCTGTCCCCCAAGCCAAATGCCACAATTATTTTTTCCCCTACCTTTTTTATTTTTAATGTCAAATCTGTAGAAGAGTTGAGCAAAATACATAACAACCATTCACAATCCTTCTAGATTAATATTATATTAATATTTTGTCACATTTGCTTTATGTATATATAATAAATATATTAAAAATAAGCCATCAAAATAACCCATCTGAGGCTATCACAACCCTTTATTCTAAAACACTTCAGTACACATCATCAATGTATCAATATTTTCCTACATAACCACAATCTCATTATGATACCAAGAAAATGAGTAATAATGCCATGCGTGCCTGCTCCACCGTGTCTGACTCTGCTTCTGTTAACAGACACCTACACTCCACTGGCAGAAGTGCAGGGAAAGACGGGCCTCGGCACAGGAAGCCTGGCCCCAGCCTCCCAGCCGGCTGTGTTTTTATTTTATTTATTTGCTGTTGGCTGTGCTGGGTCCACGCGGGCTTTCCTCTCGCTGTGGCGAGCAGGGCCTGCTAGCCTCCAGTGGCGGTGACGGCCTTCTCACTGAGCGTGGCTCCTGTCGGGGAGCACAGCTCTCGGGCACACAGGCTTCCGCAGCTGCAGGTCCCAGGATCTACAGCGCAAGCTCCGAAGTTGCGCTTCACGGGCTTAGCGGCCTGGCAGCATGTGGCTCATCCCAGATCGGGGGTCAGACCCGTGTCTCCTGCACTGGCGGGGGGATGCTTCCCACTGAGTCACCAAAGAAGCCCCTGCTGCATTTTAAGTCAAGGCGTCAATCCTGCTGCCGCGGAGTCTCGGCACCGCCCCTGAGGAAGGCGCTGTCCACAGACTCAGCATGACCACAGACGACGTTCATGCAGACGTCCCTGCAGCCCTCGCCAGAATTCCAAGCTGGCTTACCTGAATTGGAGTTATCATGTATGAAAAAAGGAAATCTGGTTACAGAGACTACAGAGCAAAAGAGTCTCAAAGACTGAACACTTACCGCCTCTCAGGGCTAATGACTCCTGTTATTAACTTCTCTGTTCCTGTTGAATTTACCGGTGTTTTAATTGGGGTTTCTTTCAGGAACTGGTTTCCAGCTATTAGAAAAACAACAAATACAAACCATATGTAGCTTACATGCTATGGTTTCAAAATTTTTATCAATAATGCATGTATCACCTCATTCACTGGCTCAGAAATATTGTAATCACTTGCCCAGTGATGTTAACACTCTAATTCTTTAAAGAAATGTTTCCATGTGATTTATAATAAAAACAAAATCATCTTGCTTTACAAGTGTGACTCTGCTTTTTCTTCACTGTAAAACCATGCTTATGATTTTGTTATAAATATCACATAACAAATCTAAATAGAACATATAAATAATACTTCATGATTACTGATTCTCCTTTCTATAAATAAAAGTCAATCTGTATTTATACCTTTAATTGATATATTACTGAGAGATGTTAACTCAATTCATAGCCCTTTCAACTCCTGTCAGGCAAAGAGAACAGTCCCCTGTGAAAGCTGACACAAATTATTACAGAGGTTGTGAGCTTTAGTTATTTTTATACTCCACATTCCAAAATTTGGGGTTTTATTCTAGCAGTGTATTTCCAACTGATATAGTTTGTGACAAATCTGCATTAACAATCTGATTACTGCTAATTAGCTAACTTTTTGTTCATGATCTAAAAGTTATACACTGCTTAGGAATATAAGATACCACGGTTTTAAACAGAGATCAGGGGTTTTGTTTTACTTATGACTATATAGCATTACTCTCACTGGTTCCCCAAAAACAAGAAAATAAGATTAATCAGCAATACCTATGAAAAGAGTTTTCATCTTTGTGTACTGAGGGTATCTACTACCATACCCTTCAACAAACTCTCATTAAATGGATTAGACAGGATTCAGAAAAATAAAACTAATTCTTAGGTCAAAAAATGACTCAGAGGGGCTGCCCTGGCGATCCAGTGGCTAAGACGCCATGCTTCCAGTGTAGGTGGCTCAGGTTCGAGCCCTGGTCAGGGAGTTAGATCCGACATGCTGCAATGAAGACCCAGAGCAGCAAAATGATAATAAAAAATAAATATTAAGACTCAGAGCAAAAGTAAAATGCAAAGTGCTAATGGAGGCTATCAACTGGGGCTTCAGCCACTGCTTTTCTTGGCAGCCCTTATGTTTAAAGAAAAATGGCCAAAACCAGCTTCTGACCAATGTAATCTCTCACAGGGACAAGATATGTAAATTAATGACACTTTAAGATTATAAATTCCAACTACCTATATTTTCAAAACTTTCAGAATTATATAAATTTTTTATTTAAAGTTACTAATAGAAGGGACTATTTTTTTAAATAATTAAAAAAAAAAAAAAAGCCCTGAATGGGTTAAGATGAGTTAAAGGTCCATTCTAGTTCCCTGCCCAACCTCATGACTCACAGAGGACCTTATAGGTATGTTAAGAGAAATAAGAGAAAGAGATACAATGCAACAGCAGCAATTACTGAGGTCCTACTATGTGCAAATATTATCTCCTTGACACTCATAAATAACCACAGGCTTCCACACATCACACCAAACCAGTCTCATGATTTTAGGGAAAGTGTTGCTTCAACTGGATAATGCTATCAACAGAACTTCCAGCAAATATCCTCACCAAGTGTTTCATAATATCTTTATGTATAAGAAGCAGACTCTAGAACTGGCTATCAGTCAGTTAGCAGCCTGGAACCACAATGGCAGGATGTGGGCAGCCATTCACAAGGCAATGTTTCACAGTGTGGATTCATTAGGGTTTTAACTTAACACACAAGTAGGTCACAATTGCTGGAAAGAAAACTAACAACCTTTAGGTGTCATTTCTTTAAAGTAACAAAGGCTAGATCACAGTAAATAAAATCCCTTCAGGCTCTCTCTAATTTATTCATTTCTTCATTCAACAGAAATGGCCCCCATTATATACCAGGCAGTAGGTTTCCCAGCTGGCACTAATGGTAAAGAACCCGCCTGCCAATGAGGAGGCATGAAAGACGCAGGTTTGATCCCTGGGTCGGGAAGATCCCCTGGAGGAGGGCATGGCAACCCACTCCAGTGTTCTTGCGTGGAGCATCCCATGGACAGAGGAGCCTGGTGGGCTGCAGACCATGGGGTCGCAGAGAGGAGACAGACTGAAGCAACTTGGCATGCACGCAGGCACCGAGTGGGTACAGATACCAAGCGCGGCTCCAGCTATGTGCCACGCCACGCCACGCCACAGGGAGGCAGAGCGCTGTCTCATCCTGGTGAGACCGCGTACTAGACGCTGGACTCAGTTCTAGGCACTATGTTTTAATCAGAGTGACAAAACAGAATGTGCCCAGAGAAGACCAGCAATCAAAACACAGAGATGTCACCAAGGAAACAGCTTGAATAACTGGTGATGATTAAAATGAAGAGGAAATCAAGGTAAATGAGAGATCTGTAATATGGACGCAGCTCTAGGTATCCGGAAGGGCATCAGTGATAGAACAGGCAGAACAGGATCAGACACCAGAAGTGGAGCTCCAGACGAGTAAGAAGGGCTCAGCAAAGACTCGAACGGAGTCATTCTACGCGGGGGCAGGGGGCACGCAAGGTCTCAGCCTACATGTACGACCTTGGGCAAGCCCCTTCCCTCATCCCAGCCTCAGGCTCCTCAGCTGTGAAAAGGGCAAGGGGATTAAATCAGCAATAACTTGCCTTCCACCTTTGATATTCTATGATGCTGTGACTCAACTCTATAAATGTGGGAAAGAGAAAAACTTAGTAACATTTGAGAAAAATCTGAAGTTGATTAATATGCTTTCATTCCAACCAATGCAAATAACATACGCTTAAAAAACAGCCTGGCTTCTCCTATTAATTCCTGAGGGCAGTGCTAGCCATTTCTCATCTGCTATATGTTTATTTAGCAAGGTAAGAAGAAGGAATTTCGAGATATTTTGCTACTGTTTAATCTAAACAGCAAATACCTTTTGAGGGTGTACTGTAATGATTGGGTGTAGTGAGTATTTCTCTTTTATACTGGTTCTTATTAACTGGAGTCTTTGGCTCAGGAAATACAAAGCACTCTTCATTCTTTACAGTGGACTTAGGAGTATATACATTTTCTTTGTTCTTTAATTTATTGGCAGATGCCCTGCATAGTACTGGAGTTAATGATGTAGATTCCAGGCCATTTGATTCTGTCCAATGCTTGGCAAACTGGAAAAGAAAAAAGTTACTGGATAAAGCACATTGAAGAAGAAAAGTCAATTTCTTTACAATATGCCTTAATCATTTGCAAATTACCTTGCACCATCTTTATTAAAATGAAACACTATCAAAAGGATATTATTGGTGATACCAGGAAATTTGAAAATGTATATTCAGTTCCCTTTAGTTAGTACATGTATATCACTTTAGGCTGGTCTATTGACAGGTAATTTTCAACATGTTTCAAGATGTATTTAATCAAACACACCCAGATTCTAGGCAATTGAGGACGGCCACAAATAAATCCCTAAGAATTGCTTCCCATATCTAGACTGCCAGTTTGTTTTTAATTTGTACCAAGAAATAAAAGTTTAGTCAATGACCAGCACAGAAAAACTATGTTAAAATGCTCTAACAGAAATGTTGCACAGAAAATATGTCTTAATCCTTTCAAATTTATGGTTGAGCTTGCAAAAAAGATAGGAAAATCCTCAGAGGTCAAACGAAAACCAGGAGCATGAATGCAGAAACGTAATCAAGGCTGAAACTGTCTGCTGCCCTACGGGCACCTACCCACTCTCCCGCATAATCTACAGCAGGAGATGAGACCTATGCGAGGCGCGGAGTTAGAGCCAAGCTTCCAGGTAAGCCAGGAGGGGCCAGAACGAAAATGAAAGGGTGGGTAAACTCAGACCTGCTCTGTAAAGGAGTTGGCAAAAAAACCTGTCTGTCCTGGTTATGGCTCTGAACAAGAAAAGAGAGTTTCCTTTAACAATTGCTAAGTAACCACAGGACAGTCTTCACACAGGTTTGGAGCTCAAATTCATATCCCAGAAATTTCAGCCTTAGAATTTAATTTAAAATAGTTCTAGTCCTAAATGGTTGTATTCCAGGAACATGACAAAAGGAAACACAATTCCTATCTGAAAGACAAGCTTCAATCCAGCACAACCTAAGACCTCAACCCTTAATCCAAGTCTCAAAGCATTCCCAGAGTTCCAGAAAAATGAGCCTATTAAAAAAAAACACAAATGATACAAACACCATGAGCAAAAGTCAGGAGAAAAAAGAAACAAAAGAAACAGACCCAAAAAGATGTAAGGTATTAAAATTACCAAGTACAGAACATAAATATGTTCATATGTTCAAAATAATAAAAAATTTAAAACATGAAAAGAGAAATGTTAAAGCAATTTTGAAAAAAGAATAAAAATCTCTAGAAATAATGCAATGATAAAAATGAAAAATTCAATGGACATGTCAAATAGCAGATAGATAGAAATGAAAAAAGAAAGTGAATGTGAAATAAATCTGAAGCGATCTAGAATACAGCCTAGAGAGAAAGATACGGGATATATGAAAGAGAATTTAAAATAAACGGAAGATGAAGCTCTATGGTCTAACATGTATCTATTATACATTCCAGAGATAGGTAAAAGAGACAATGAAAAAGCAGTAATTACTCAAGGTATATTATAAAATTAATTAAAAATACAAATCCTCAAATACAAGAAACACAATGAATCGCAAACAAAAAGAAGTCCATATCTATATTTACCAGGTTGTACAACTCTAGAAGACACTACTCACCCAGACAGTACACCTAACAATGAGACTGCAGAACACCAAAAGCAAAGAGAAAATCCTAAAAAGAGCCAGGGAGAAAAGACTAACTAGAAAGCAACCTGACTGACACTGATTCAGTTCACTCACTCAGTCGTGTCCGACTCTTTGTGACCCCATGGACTGCAGCATGCCAGGTTTCCCTGCCCATCAGCAACTCCCGGAGTCCACCCAAACTCATAAATGCCATGCGATGGCATGCCAGTCGGTGATGCCATCCAACCACCCCATCCTCTGTCGTCCCCTTCTCCTCCCACCCTCAATCTTTCCCAGCATCAGGGTCTTTTCAACTGAGTCAGTTCTTCGCATCAGGTGGCCAAAGTTTTGGAGTTTCAGCTTCAACATCAGTCCTTCCGATGAACACTCAGGACTGATTTCCTTTAGGAAGGACTGGTTGGATCTCCTTGCAGTCCAAGGGACTCTCAAGAGTCTTCTCCAACACCACAGTTTAAAAGCATCAATTCTTCAGCGCTCAGCTTTCTTTATAGTCCAACTCTCACATCCATCCATGACTACTGGAAAAACCATAGCCTTGACTAGACAGACCTTTGTTGGCAAAGTAATGTCTCGGATTTTTAATATGCTGTCTAGGTTGCTCAGAGCTTTTCTTCCAAGGAGCAAGCGTCTTTTAATTTCATGGCTGCAGTCACAATCTGCAGTGATTTTGGAGTCCCCAAAAATAAAATCTGTCACTGTTTCCATTGTTTCCCCATCTATTTGCCATGAAGTGATGGGACCGGATGCCATGATCTCAGTTTTCTGAATGTTGGGTTGTAAGCCAACTTTTTCACTCTCCTCTTTTACTTTCATCAAGAGGCTCTTTAGTTCTTCACTTTCTGCCATAAGGGTGGTGTCTGCATATCTGAGGTTACTGATATTTCTCCCAGCAATCTTGATTCTAGCTTGTGCTTCATCCAGTCCAGCATTTCTCATGATGCACTCTGCATATAACTTAAATAAGCAGGGTGACAATATACAGCCTTGACGTACTCCTTTCCCTATTTGGAACCAGTCTGTTGTTCCAGGTCCAGTTCTAACAGTTGCTTCTTGACCTGCATACAGATTTCTCAGGAGGCAGGTAAGGTGGTCTGGTATTCCCATCTCTTGAAGAATTTTCCAGTTTGTTGTGATCTACATAGTCAAAGGCTTTGGCATTGTCAATAACAGAGAAGTAGATGTTTTTCTGGAACTCTCTTGCTTTTTTGATGATCCAGCGGATATTGGCAATTTGATCTCTGGTTCCTCTGCCTTTTCTAAATCCAGCTTGAACATCTGGAAGTTTATGGTTCTCCAAGCCTGGCTTGGAGAATTTTGAGCATTATTTTGCTAGCATGTGAGATGAGTGCAATTGTGCAGTAGTTTTGAGTATTCTTTTGGCATTGTTCTTCTTTGGGATTGGAATGAAAACTGACCTTTTCCAGTTCTGTGGCCACTGCTGAGTTTTCCAAATTTGCTGACACTGATTACTCAATGGTAACTGCAGAAGCAAGAAGACAGTGGAGGAGAAGGAAATAGCAACCCACTCCAATGTTCTTGCCTGGGAAATCCCATGGACAGAGGAGCCTGGTGGGCTACAGTTCATGTGGTTGGACATGACTTAGCAATGAAACAATTCTTGATTAATTAAAAAATAAACAGATCTCTAGGAGAACAGAGGGGGGAAAAAAAGAGAGTAGAATAATAGGTTCAAAATGAAGAGTGTAAAATAACTGATAAACTAGAAATCAATATACAGAAAAACTATATTCCAAAAATGAAAGTGAAAAAAAGACAATTTAGAAAGAGTGTTTGCCATCAATTGTGACTTCCACTAAAGGGAATTTTAAAGGATACACTTCAGGAAGAAAAAAAATAATTCTAGAATGAGGATTTGAGAGATAAGAAGGGCAAGTAAATGAAGGAAAATGTGAGTCAATCAAAACAAACGTCAATAGCATTACATTCTAAAAATGTAATTTATGAAATTAAAAATGTATAGGGCCAAAAAAAATTGTACCACAATTATGCAAAATTAACTACTGTAGGAGAATGAGTGAAAAGTTCATGGGACCATAGTATCCAGTGATTTTATGACAAAACTTTTTAAAACTTAAATGAAGCAGACACTAGAAAAAAAAAATTCACCAAACTGACAGGAAGAAATTGAAATACTGTGTAGTCCTATAAATACAAAAGAAACTGAACCAGTAGTTGACTAGCTTCTCACAGAAAAATTCCAGGCCCAGATAGTTACATAAGCTCCATCATACATTCAAGGAAAATATAATTAATAGCTCTTAAATACCATTTCAGGGAATAAAAAAGAGAGACTATGTTCCAAATCATTTTAAAAGACAAATTAAAAATAAAATAAAATAAATTATAATATCAATCAGATACAATTAATATAAGATGGGATGGGATGCAAGAACAGGGGAAGAACGCTTTTCATTCTTTATTCAACATAGTTCTGTAATGTTTGAATTTTTTTACAAGATGAATATACCTATGTATTACTTATGCATAACAAAACTAAAATTTTCAAAAGAAAAAAAGTCATTTAAGAACAAATTGGCCAATCTCACTTAAGAACATAGAAGCAAAAATTCTAAATGAAAATTATTAGTAAACTAAACCCAGCAACGTGTAAAAAAGATAGCAATGCATCATGACAAACTGGGCTTATCTAAAGAATGCAAAATTGTTTTAAAATAAAATCTATTAATATAACATAGACTACATTAACAAATGGAAAGAACAAAGCCAGATGATTATCTCAACAGATGAATTCTATCTAATCTTTTTTCCTGCAACAGAGATCCATAATTTTTAAGCAAACCAGGATAGATGAGAAAATTTTCTTAGTCTGAAAAACATGGGGTGGGAGGCACAGAGGAGAGAGAGAGAAAAGGAGGGTAACAGGAAAAGGGAAAGGAGGACAGAGAACGGGAGGGGAAGGGAGTGGAAAAGAAAAACCAAGCAGCGTATTTAACGATAAAATATTAGCAGCATCATTCCACAGTCGGGAAGAACACAAGACTGTCTGCTATGTTGTTAGGACTACTAAGTACAGTAATAAAATGACACTAAAGGCATGAGAACTGGAAAGGAAGTAACAAAACTATCATTCACAGCTAATTTTTCATAATATGTGAAAGAACATATAAAGTATAAGAATTTAAGAGTTTATGAAAGCTGTTGAATATAAGATCAATACACAAAAATCAATTTCATATCTATACACCAGTATTAGACAGTTAGAAAATGTGACTTTAAAAAGCCCAATATTCCAATAGCAACAAAAAATAAAAGTACTCAGGAATAAATCTAGTAAAAGATATATAAGATCTTTTGGGAGAAATTTATAAAATTTTATTGAAAGCAATTAACTAAAACCTAATAAATAGCAAGGTACACTATGTCTACAGATGAGGGGGTTTGAGAGTACAGACCTCAATTTTTTCCCAAATTGAACATTAGAACCAATGTAATTTCAATTTTTAAGTGTATGTAAATTTGTCAATTTATCAAAAATTTATCAAAATGACTCTAAAATGTACAAGGAAATGTAAAGGAACAAGAAATAGCCAAGATATCCCTACAGAAGCCTAAGATGGAAGGAAACTGGCCATCCAGATAAAAGAAATACTATAAACTGAAGAGGTAGGACAGATGGTAATGGTGCAAATAAACCAATGAAACAAAATATTTCTCAGAAGCAGACATACATAGAACAACTTGATATCTGACAAAAGTGCCACTGTAGATCAATACAGAAAGACTGGACTTTGTAACGGTGCTGGCATAACTGGTTATAAGAGGAAGAACTGATTCCCTACCTCACACCATACAAGAGAATTAATTCTCCATAGAGGAAAGACGTAAATGTGAAAGAAAAAACTTTAAAACTGGAGAAGCAATATGTGTGAATGCATTTATAACTTTTGGAGAATGATTTCTTTTAAAAGATACAAAAGCTACAAACCATAAAGAAAAATACTGACAACTCATTAAAATTGATGACTCCTGCCATCAAAGTATAAAGACAAGTGACAAACTCAGATGAGATACTTGTTCACCAGCAACACACAACCAACGAAGGGCGAGAATTAAACCTAGAATTCCCTCAATACCACCAGAGAAAAGAAACAATCCAATAGGAAAACAGGCAAAAGACACAAAAAGACATTTCATAAAACAGAAAAAAAGACTGGCTGATCAACATATGAAAAGATACAAATGTAATCAAAAAAGTACAAATGAAAACCACACTGAGATATCACTTCTTATTCATCAGATTAGAAAATATTAAATACAAAAAATATCAAGTATTGATAAGTTTGTGGAACAGGGACATTTAAATTATACCTCATTTTGTAAACAGGAGGGGAGGGGAGGAAAGGAAAAAAAAAAAGAGCTGTAAAGTGCTCCAAAATGAAAAGAATTCAACTTGGAAATAATTGGTTTCCTTTCATTTATATCCCAACAATCTCCTGTTAATATTTTCAGTGGTTTAGGAATTCATGAAATTTGCAAGCACAAATTAGATCTCATGTTATATAGCCTAGATATTTTTTATAATTGAGACAACATATTCTACTTTAAATAATAGAAATAACCAACCTGTGGTGTTTGTGGAGTAGCCACGCCTCTTGATGAAATGTCTTCACACCATTCATAGTTTATTAATCCAGCCACATAATTTTCATCACTGGTGATCATATCTTCTAGACTCAGATTCTTTGACTATTCAAAAACAGAAGAACTCAGAAAACAATGCCACCATGATTCAGTTTTAAAAGGTTATGTTACAGGCACAGGGCAAGGCCCTGGAAGCAGAAACAAATGAGAGACAGTATATAGAAGGAGCTCACATCCAAAACTGAAAACAAGAAGTCAAAAGTCTTTAATTCAAATTATTAGATAGGAGAATCTCTGACTCTCAAATAAGATGCCTTGGAATGTTCTTATGTTATATGGCTAAGTAGCTTATCATTATCAGATAATCACTACAACACCAGACAAATGACTCCTTGCAAATCCACAAATAAGCGGCTCTCTGACAAAGTAGAAAATGGAAGGGACTCTGAAATAAAGGTTTCTTGGTTGGAAGAACATACTGAGTAGTTAGCAATTTCTACTAGGAATAAATTAGCCTTATGAAACATCTCCTGGAGACAAGATATTGGGATCCTATGTTAATAATGCCACCAGAGTCACTTATTTTCCTTCATTCTTCCTCCTCAATAAACTGTGCTCAGTTGCTCAGGCATGTCTCTCTTTGCAACCCCATGGACTGTACCCTGCCCGGTTCCTCTGTCCATGGCATTCCCCAGGCAAGAATAGTAGAGTGGGGATCGAACCTCCATCTCCTGCAGTGGTAGGCAGATTCTTTACCACTGAGCCACCTGAGAAGCTAAATAAACTAGGAACGCACTAGATATACCCTAGATTCTAAGACTATGCAGTATAGTTGGATTTTTTATTTTTCTTTCCTTCAACATCTATTTAGCCTGGTCAGGCAACTGTACTTGAATTTCTTACACCCCAAAAATCCCTTCTTTTCTAATTTTCTAATTCAAGGACAAATCTTCTCATATCTAAACTATTCAAGCAGACAATACAATCCCCACCACTGCTAGTCTTTCCACCCTCTCAACCAGCGATGACAGAGTTCTCCAGGGTTGTCAATTACCATCAACTTGAACTAGTTACACAGAGTGCCAGGCTGAGAAAAATACTAAAACTTAAGTCTGGGCTTAGTGGGGAGAAGCACAGTGTTGTATGAATGACGGCTACATTAGGGAGTAAAGGCACATACACATCCCTGACTGAATAATCCTATATACAGATGGATGAATTCTGAAAATCAGTCAAGTTGGTGATTTGTCATTGCCATGGCTTGCTCAAAAATCCAGTTTCCCATTACCTATAGCATAAAGTCTAACCCTCTGACCTGGCATTTCAAGGTTCTCTACAATCTAGCTTTCAGCTGCCCTTCCAGATCACCCATTCTCTCTCTCTCTCTTACTTTTCCCCCTTGAACTCTATTTTAACCAAACAAATCTAATCATTGTCAAAAGAATACATCAAGCACATTTAGGAGACTGAGTTTTTGCTAATTCCATTTATCTTGCCCTAAATTCTGTGCTCCTTCTTTTCTGCTTCCCTAAACTTAACAATGGCTCCAGTTTGAATCACCCATAGTGATCATTCCCATGCTCTATAAAGCCCCTACCATACATCTCTAGCGCTTACCTGGTACCCACCATCTACTATGATGTTGTGTTATTTATATGCGACTTGCCTCATCTTATCTGTTAGATAGCAAGCACTCTCCTTCATATAGACTGTTTCCCGAGAGCTAGCACGGGGCATGAAAATGCTAATGATGCTGAAAATATGTGGTCTTTTTTGTGATTCTCAGATCAGATTGTATTATCATTTCACTGAAAGTGTCATTCATTGATTAACAGTTCAGAATTACTTACTTTTTTTATAAGGAACACTCTAGAGACAAAAAGAGTGACTCTATCAAGGAGGAGAATAGCAGGAAGAGACTATATAGCTTGCTTCAAGCCTTAGTGAGTTGCATAAAGATCAGGGAGAAAAAAAAAATTTGATTTCTACTTCATTTCTTGTCATTAAAAACTCTCTTTATTGGCTATAAAAATTGACTCAATAATATAAATGCCCAAATAACTAAATTATTGGGTAAATGCTCATTAGATGGAAGATTAAATACCTTCCCAGATAATTTTTACTTGGATACCCTATGACTCATATAAGCATATCAATTGAGACCAGGCCAATCCAGATATAAGAAAATCTAATGGCTCAGGAAAATGTCTAAGACCTTTTAACTAGGGTGTCATAAACTCAAAAACTTAGGGAGTTCCCTGGCAGTCCAGTGCGGTTAGGATTCTGCACGTTCACTGCTGAGGGCCTGGGGTTCAATCCCTAGTCAGGGAGCTAGGATCCCATGTGCCACACAGTGCAGCCAAAAAATAAAAAATAAATAAAATAAAATTAAACTGAGGTTTATTGTAAGTATGGAGGTATCTAACATCTCTCTGAAATTACCTTGATCAGAAGCAAAGTTTATGTTTTTGTGTCCTCCTGAACCCAAAGGTACAGACTTGAGTATCAGACTTTAAAGAGTTCGCTCTGTAAGCAGGATGAGGGATGGGATGATTCATGGAGTTGTAGATAAAAGATCTGCCTGGGCATGGAATATTCACCAACCCAGTATAACTGAGAACAGACCAGAAAAACAGCTCACCCTTTGCTGTCCACCCGAAACTATCACAACACTGTAAATCGGCCATGCTCAAATACAAAGCTAAACTTTTTTTTAAAAGAAAAACAGCCCAGCAGTAAGATTATCTCACTTTAGAGATTTTTTCACACAACAGCCCCTTATACTAACACTTTCAGTTTTTAATTTGGTCAAAAGACTAACTAGGGAGAGAAGGGAGACAGGTTAGATCTCCCAGGGACAAAAGAACCACTGGACGTGCAGCACATGATTGACAAGTGCCAAAGAGAGGTCTGCACGCGTTGTTAAAGGAGCCGCCGGGGCTGTGGGTACGGGTGGATTCGACAAAAGATTATGAAAGGGGTAGCATTTGAAGATTTTTAAAACACAGTTTTGAGAGCTAAAGAAAAAAATATCTGGGAGGTAGGAGGGAGATTCAAGAGCGGGGGAACATATAACCAACACAACATTGTAAGGCAATTATCCTCCAATTTAAAAAAAATATCACTGCACTCACACAATCATTTGGGCTATCCTGGATTCCAGGATTCCCAGGTGGCACAGTGATTAAGAATTCGCCTGCCAATGCAGGAGATGAGAAAGATGCAGGTTCAGTCCCGGGGAGAAGATGATCCCCTGGAAGAGGAAATGGCAACCCACTCCAGTATTCTCGCCCAGGGAAACCCCACGGACAGAGGAGCCTGGCAGGCTACTTAATTTAAAATAAGTAGGGGTCGCAAAGAGTCAGACACAACTGGGAGACTGAGCAAACATACTGGATTCCACGGAGAGGGCACACTCCCCCTCTCTGAGAAGAACAAAAGTACAGTTTTCTAGTGCTAAAATCATTTACACTGCACCCTGAACTCAGGGAAGGAAGATTATATCACAAAGCTCCACATCCATGCGGCAGAGTATTTGGAAGGCAGAATTTTAAGCCGTGGGAAATACAGAGAATCACACAGAAAAGAGACAGATGTGAGCACTTAGGAATGACGCAGTGCTTCCACACAGATGAGGTTTCTCCGCCATTCTACACATTCATGACGAAGGAAAATGAGACAAAGGCCACAGAACAGAAAAAAGTAAACTGGTTACAAGTCATACGAGAGATCTGAGTTGCATGAGCAATATTGACTATTCAAAACATCCTAATCCCCTAACATAAATAAGAGTATAAAAAGATTCACTGAAACACTTCATTTGCATAAAGCATATGTAATTTGTCTTATAATTTACATTAGATATAAACAAGCATACTAAGAAAGACTGGGAAGACAGTAAAATATAAACTATTTTATCTATAGGTGGCAGTAACTTTATAGATAAATTATATTCTCCTTTAGCATATCTGTGGCTTAAAATTATTCTACAACAATCAGGAGTTACTTTCATGGGAAAAAAGGAGGAAGGGAGAAATTTTGCTTTTAATGCCATGCAGACATTCAAAATTTTAGCCCTCAGCTCAGAATTTCTCATTTCCCTTAACAGCAATACTTAAATCATCAGATGCCTTGCCTCCAGGTCCTTGCCATCAGCAAAGTTCGCCCTTCCTGGCGTGTATTCACTCACGAACAGTGAGCACATGGCAAGACTGGATGGCGCTCACACAGAAGGCTCTAATATTCACCTTTAGGTTCATGACTGGCGTTGAGCTGGCCTGTCCACAGGAAGAAAGAAGCCTTAAACGAACCGGTTTTCCCCGAGCCTTCTTGGCTAGGAGCAGAAGGTAAGTAGCCGTGAGGTGATCATACTGCCACTGGAGAAAAGAAAATCCAGTTGTTTAGAAGACTAAACTTTCTTTTGACATCATCTTTATTTTAAATTAACATTTTTCCCCAATGTCATGACATTCAGAGTTTAGAAATTTTTTTTTAAGCTTTAAAAGCATACAATGAGAAACAACAATCCCCTACACCATACCCCACACACAATTTCCACTCCCTAAAAGGTACCACTTTTTAACACTTTCAGTTATTTTCTCTGTATTTCTAAATCAATTGATTATACAGCTTTAAATTTTGGTTTAGCGTCAGATATTGTCTCTAGCTTTCTTACTATGGAAAAAAGAAGCTCTATTCAGCTCTATTTCAACTCCTTCCTTTTCCCGCAACATATCTCTTTCCTGTACCCTCCTACTATAATTTTATCACAATTTTTAGTTAAATCACATTTATGTTATTATAATAATGTAAATAGTCCTTACGACTAAGTAAAGGTAATGTCCAAAATATTTAATTGGTACCCTGACATCAATCAGAACAGAAGCCAAAGGGTGAGTAGAGTCCGGGGGAACCCCTGCCACGCCAATTACTAAACTTTTTAATTACTGGATGAATGGGAGGTAAGCTTTTTGAGATTCTGCATGTCTGATAAATGACTGCGTGCTGCTCACACACTTGATTCTGGCTTGGCTGGGTATGGAATTCCAGGCTGACAATAACTTGCACAGCTTTGAAGGTACTGTCCCATGGTCTTCTCACATTAGTACAGTTACCGAAAAATCAAGTCTTTCTGATTCCCAAACCTTTGGGTGTGACCTTTTGCCTCCTGTCTCTAGAAAATCTGGATCTCCTTTTTCACCCCTAGTTTTCTGGAAGTTTACTAAAATAGGTTTTTGTGCAGATTTATTTTCATCCATTTTGCCAAGCCCTAGTTACTTACACTTTCACTTCTGGGATATTTTTTCTCATACTGTTTCTTCGGTTTCCTTCCCCTCCTCTGTTTTTTATTTTCCTGCAGCTTCTATTATGTGTATGTTGGACCCTTCTTACCTTCTCTTCTCTTTGTGCATCTATTTGTCTTTAGGTTCTACCTTTGAAAGATTTCACATTAACTTCATTTTGAAAAATGTCTACTGAGCTTTTCATTTCTCTGGTCATATTTTAAATCTTCAAGAGCTATCTCTTAAAATGTTCTTTTTAAGTCATCTTATTCCTATTTCGAAAAAGAAATAGCTTCTCTTATCTCAAAGAATAGTAATTATTGTTTCTTAGCCATTTTCTTCCACTCCCTGCATTATCTGATTTTTTCTGAGTATCTATACTTTTGCTTCACTCTCTCCCCGATCCCACTGTTTTGATCTTTGACTTTCATGTTAGAGGATGTCCTCAAAGGTCTGGTGACCTCTGGCTGATTGTCTCTAGAAGCAAAGAGCATACTACACAGCTAAAAGACCCTATGTGTAGTTTGGGGCAGTTCATTACCTTGGGGGCTTCTCTCTAACACAGCAGTCCCCAACCTTTTTCATACCAGGGACTGGTTTTGTGGAAGGCAATTTTTCCACAGATAGGGGTGAGGGGAGGATGGTTTCTGGATGATTCAAGCACATTTATTGTGCACTTTATTTCTATTATTATTACACTGTGATACATAATGAAATAATTATACAACTCACCATAATGCAGAATCAGATTATCAGGTATTAGATTCTAATAGGTATGCAACCTAGATTCCTCACATATGCAGTTCACAGCAGAGTTCACATTCCCGTGAGAATCTAATGCTGCTGCTGATCTGACAGGAGGAGCTCAGGCAGTAATGCAAGCGATGGGGAGCAGCTGCAAATACAGATGAAGCTTCACTTGCCACTCTCCAGCCTGCTGCTCACCTCCTGCTGGGTGGGCTGGTTGCTAACAGGCTATGGACTACACCAGTCTGCGGCCCAGGGGTTGGGAAGCCCTACTTTAAGGTTAACAGGCAGAATGTTGAACTCCCAACCATTGGTATAATAGGTCCTTTCTCTTGGCTTTTCCCTAAAGATGAGTCTCCCAGTAATTTCCCCAACCCCACTGCAGTTAGCATAAAATCCTGATCCCAGCATTCTCAGAGCCGAGCAGGGAAGGGAGTTAGAGATGGCGGTTCACTGTTCAGTAAGGGGACTGTGTGTGTCAACACATGCATTTCAGAATGGCTCGCCACCCCCACCGGAGCTGCGTCTGATACAAGAGCATGCCCTGTTCACTGTCCCTCCAGTCTTCTGCTGGAGGCGGGGAGGTTATCACAGCACAAGGTAAAGAACGGGACCCAGCAGCCTAACTGCTCCTAACAGAGACCCCAACCAACCTGACTCCAGAGGTTCCTGGGACCTCTGGCTCCTGAGCCTTTCTGGAGGTCCAGGGCGCTAACAATTTGCTTACTGCCTTTTCCCACCCCACGCACTCTGCTTTCAGTTTTCTCCAAAATGCCAGGTCAGCTGCCACTTAGCTATTTTACAACTTCTAAAATTTTACTGACATTTCTTTTATCTCCTCTTTCAATCTTTTCATTGTGAAATGTTTGCCTTTTTATTCCTTTATTATTATTTTAGTGAGGTTTTAGCAGGTGTTGAATATAAACATGTCTGTTCAATCCTCGTGAAAAACTAAAAGTTTCTAAATAATGTACTCAAGACTAAGAGACTCTCTGCCCTGTAAAAGTGTTAAAATTTAAAACTAAATAGTATTTTATGCCATGTATCTCTCACAAAGGGGTTATGTCTCACATGTCATCTCTCATATGACCCAAAGAGGTCTACTATCACCTTTGATTTTATTAATAAGTTTTATCTGTTAACATTTTAGGTAGCCACAATTGTAGTATATGCTTTGAAATTTACATAATGGACAAATCAATCTAGTGGAAGAAGTGTAACACTGTGATAAATTATCATGGAATGTTACCTTTCATTCAGATAGGTTGGGGAGAAGGAAGGATGGGAAAGGTTTCATGGAGAAGGTACTTGGAAACTAGGTGACAACTAACTCTCTACTCTCCAAAAGTTATGTTAAAGATTTTATTTATTTAACTGTTTATTCATTTATTCATTTGGCCGTGTGGCATAGCTTGTAGGGGAGAAGGCAATGGCAGCCCACTCCAGTACTCTTGCCTGGAAAATCCCATGGATGGAGGAGCCTGGTAGGCTGCAGTCCATGGGGTCGCTAAGAGTCAGACACGACTGAGCAACTTCCCTTTCACTTTTCACTTTCATGCACTGGAGAAGGAAATGGCAACCCACTCCAGTGTTCTTGCCTGGAGAATCCCGAGGACAGGGGAGCCTGGTGGGCTGCCGTCTATGGGATCTCACAGAATCGGACACGACTGAAGCGACGTAGCAGCAGCAGCAGCAGCATAGCTTGGAGGGTCTTAGTTCCCCGACCAGGTACTGAATTCTACACCCCAGGAATGAAGCACCAAGTCATAATCACTGGACCACCAGATAATTTCCATGTTAAACGGTTTTTTCGCACCTTCCACATCTATGGTCTCATGTGTGATAAATGCCTTTTTTTTTCCATTTTTAAAGAATTATATTAGAAAGTTTTGTTTTAGCAACTAAAACACATATCTTCTTGGATCCCTTGGTTCCTAATGTGTACCTTATTGAGCAAATCTAATACTTTTCTGCATCAGCATTCTTCAAATATTCTTCAGACACAAAGAAATTGTGTCTCCCTGTACCCTCAAACTTATACACAATATACCCTAAGACTTGTATCATCATTCTCCAAATACTGCTGAGTCTTTCAAACATCTTCTACTATTTCTGTATGTTTCCATTTGTCCAGTATTTTCTCTGCATGAAATGGCAAGTATTTTATTACAATATATGTTACTGAGTTTTCATTTACATGGGGGAGGATAAATAAAACCTATTAGATAAATGCCTTTTTGAAAAGGATGCCATAAACTGATTACAGACAATGTCTCAGAAATAAGTTGCCACTTGCTTGTTAACAATGGCTAACCCAGGCATTGTAAACAATACTGGGAAAATGCTGAGTTTCAGGTGGAGTTTTCTAAACATACTTCAGAGCTTAATAATCATCCTGGAAACTCTCTATTCCCCTAGGCAAAAAAACATCCTTTTAATAACTATTTTTGCCATAGCCATTGCATACTACTTATTATGATAATATGCACAGGGGAGTTCTGTGTTTAATAACAGATAAATCAATGCATTAGTTACGCTTTCCAGGTGATGTCAATCCTCAAGTCTAACACAACCAATGTCTCTCTTATCTTTTAAGCAGCTCCCTCTTTAGAAAGTCAAATGTCTGAGAGTAAAGCAAAAGGTTTACCTGTTATAAAGAAGGTTCTACTTCCAGGAAATGAAAAACATTTTAAAATCCCCAGTTATTGTTCACGCAAACCCAATGTTAAAGGACGGCCTGGGCACCTTGGCTGAGGACAGGCAGCTATTGGATCACAGAGCTTGATAAACTGAGGGACGGCTCAGTCTCCTTCCCCTGACCTTGCTCCTGGGGTGCAGCGGTGTCGTCCTGAATTAATTCTCACAACCACACAGGATTATGACAGACAGTGAAGGGACAGCTCACGAAAGAGCAACTGCCCGAGAAAATCCTGAGTGCATATTTACTGAGCCTCCTTCTTGGACAAGGAAGTCAGGCAGTAAGGCTTTGAAGGTAAGCAAGTTTGTTCTACGTGCAGAACAACACCTGCTGAGGCTGACGTGTCAGCCAAGACATCTGTCTTAAACGCATGAGAAACAGCACGTAAGGAAAGAGTAAGACAGAACAGTCTCCAGAAAACAGGGTCTTGAGAAAGGAACAACATTTATATTCCCACAATGGGGCCCTCAAGCTTTAAACCTCCGTCACCAGAATACAAGACAGTTTGCACCACAGGGGTGAGGGGAAAGGATCTGTCTTTGTCTGCAGGTCCTTGTGTGCACATGGGACCTTTAGTCAAGTTCCCCAACCAGATGACTGGCTGCTCCACAATCCAGAGCCACTCACAGCTGGAAGACGAGGGAGAAAGTGAAGAAAGCAATGAACTGGAAACTCTAGAACCACTGGAGGAAATCTCAAGAGGGTTAAAACAAGATGGCTCAAAATCATGACACATGAGAGATTCTCACTTCCAACACAAAAAGCAGTTTAAGAATGCTCAGGTATATAATATATAAGTGGTAGTTCCAAAAGCTGAATGTTTGTGAATAATATTCTCTCTCTTTACACAGAGATCAGCAGCTCCATACCCAGCATGGATCACATTAAACTGATCTCTGTCCTGTCTAGCCAGCCTGAAAACTAACAGCAGAGTGCCAGGACATCAGAAGAAAAAAAAAAAAAATTAACAAACCATGGCTGATTTCAAACCTGGTTTTCCCAAGGCTCTTTAAACTGGAAAGTACCTAGAACCAATGTGAATTCTCTGAGACGTCCCAAACCAGGATTTCTCAAATTCAACACTGTTGATAACTGACCTGGGTAATTCGTGGCCAGGGCCTATTCTGTGCACTATAGGATATTCAGCAGCACCCCTGGCCTCTCCCCACCAGGTGGCGTTAGCTCATACACACACCCTAATTGTGACAAGCAAAGATGTCCCTGGAGGGCAAAACCCTCCCTGCTGAGAACCACTGACTCAGACCAGCGCTTCACGATCAATCACTTGGGTCCTACTAAGATGCAGGTTCTGATTCAGTAGGTCCAAGGTGCACAAAGTGAGCTGCATCTCTAACAAGCACAAAGGGACGCTGATGCTGCTGGTCACTGATCACACTTTGAAGAGAGGAATCTAGAGTAGTACCTCCCAACCCCAGTCTACATACTGCAATCATTTGCGAAGCTTTTAAAAAATTCTGATGCACAGGCCACACCCCAGGTCAATGAAATAATAATCTCTGGGGTTGGGATTTAGGCATCAGGATTAAAGTTCCTAGGTGATTCCAATGTTCGGCCAAGGTTTTGAAGAGGTTGTCTACTCATCGCTAGGACTGGAAAATAAGTACATGCCCAGCTTTCAAGACAACTGAGATGATTTAGAGAGATGTAATACAGAAAACTGTCTCTATCATGCTTCATTATATTGCTTTATAATTCCTATTTCCATTTCAGTTTCAAGTGTAAAAATTATATGTAGAGACCACATAAAGGACACTATTTTAAAGACTTTTTACCCAAAGATTCTTGACATTTTGAGTATGTTACTTTTCAGATTCAGATTTTAAAAGTTTGTGAATCTCCTGCCAAAGTTTTTCTGCATAAAACAACATGATACATGGGATTTGCTTTGAAATGTCTTAGCTAAAAAGGGCAGATGGAGGACAGTGCTGGGATATAGATAAAACTGGCAAAACATTAATACCTATTCATTAAAGCTAAAAGATGAGTACATGGAAAATCATTATTACACTAGTCCCTCTATAGATATTTGAAAATTTCTATAATAACAATTGAAAAGCAATTTCTTAAATCCAAAATATAGCTTTCTATTAAAGATCATCCCAAAGAAAAATTCATGTTTATATGAAACTTGTCTGTGAAAACTTCAAATTTTCACTGTAAAAGACGAAGGACCTGGGACTTCCCTGGTGGTCCAGTGGCTAGGACTCCTGCGCCTAATGCAGGGGGCCTGGATTCAATCCCTGGTCAGGGAACTGGACCCCACATGCCATAACTAGGTGTTCTCAGGCTGCAACTAAGACCTGGTGTAGCCAAATAAATAAATACTTTAAAAAAAAAAAAAAAAAAGAAGGACCTGACACATCTAGCAGCAGTTCCCAATTTTTGCCATTTCCTTTCATCCCACTGAAAAAGTAAATTATCACTCTGTTTTCCAGATATGTTCCATTTGTCTGAAATTGTCTTTCAAAAGACTTACTGTGTCATTCAAAAGAATTCTTTCGTGTCTCCTCACTGAAAAAACTTGTGGCTTAGCAAAGCTTTGGTTAGTTCTTTAAAAAAAAAATCTGCTTAAGGCCTTTACCTTTCAAGTTAGAAAAGAGGAAAAAGCAAACACAATTCATAGGAGATGAAAGACATGGTACTGAACCAGGAGGTAAGGTGGGTGCAATCCCTGCCCATCATATCAGACTGTACTCGGAGACAGCCTCTGTTTCCAGGAGAAACTACATATAAGATCTAGTTTTTAAGCATCTGAAACAGCTAAAAATGACCCAACACCAGAAATCATGATAATCATCTCATGTATCTGGTTCATATGGCTGGGAGTGATGTGATGCTAATGGGATGCTTTCAGGTAAAATGAAAGAAAGCTCATTGCTATGGCAGAATCACACTTCTGTGTTAAAGAATTTAAAGTTGTCAGAATTGGAACTCTGAAAATTCTCTGGACTCATTTGATCTCTTTCTTAATTTTTCTTCCACTGTAATTCTCTTTGTTCAACCTCATCTCTAAAGAGGATATCTAGCAGACATCAGAAAAGAGTTGAAAATATACACAAACATAAACTAAGTGCAATACAGTATTTTCACCTGGAATAAAATCTTAGGCCTAAAAATGCTATACTATTTTTAATGTACTGATAAAACAACAAAAAAAGATGAAACAAAAGATAATACTTTCAAATTCATGCTGTATTACTTACCAGTGAAATTAAATCCTCCATAGTTTGCCTGTTGTTTCTGTGATGTACAGAAAGTTCCGTTACACAATCTTCATCAAGGTGAATAAGCTAGGAAAAAATTTTTATCGATTTTATTAACATTAATAAAATATTTATGGCTTTGAAACCTTTAAATTATGACAATTACCTTGTAAAATCAAATGCCAACATGTAAAAACAACATGAGTTTGTCAAACTCTTAGGTAAGAATAAACATCCTCCACAATTTTTAGATATAAGCAGATAACAATAAGCAGTTCAAGAAGGTGATGAGCTCTCTTCGCTAGCTCTTCACGGCCCCATCATCATCTGACCGACGTCTACAATTCTGCGGTGCAGCCCAGGGACTCTATTCTCTTCCCCTCCTGCAACACAGGGACCTGCATTTGCACCAAAGAGCAGTCATCTAGGCATCAAAAACCAGTGGCTGCACAAGAGACCGCGTAAACAGTGGGTCAGCTTGTAGCAGATGGTCTCCCAGGTTATGTCTGGGTTTGGTACAAGCCAAGGAACCCTTCTGAAGGTGCCACGGATGCTGCACAGTCATCATTATGACGAAGGTACTGGCAAAGCACAAGTGTTAAAAGGAAGAAGTAATACTGCCTCTACACAAACATTATTTTGATTAAGGACAGAAATGATCCAAGTAGTCTGACCCCTGCATGATGAGACCTCACCAGAGACGGGACCAGAAATAGGTTCTCAGAACCAAACAAGGATCACTGAGAATGAAAAGGCAGGCAGGGTCTGGCCTGTCCCTCCAACAGGAGTTCAGAAAATCACATAGGAAGAGAATTATAAGGAATGTAATTATAAAGTCGTATTTCCAATGTAAGAATTCACTTCACAACAGCCCCAGTAAGTAAGGTTTCACTTTCTACTTAGTCTTCATCTCCAGAACAGCTGGGATGGCTAGCTTCGTCCTCCTCCCCTAAGATTTGTCTCCTTCTGATTCCTACCCACTGTGAACCAGTACAATCCGACAGCTGACAGGCTTTAGAAGTAGACGACCTTGGTTTTCATCATTTTATCACAAAAGAACTGTGTGATCTTGAGCATGTTATTACACCGCCCTGTAAAATAGAGATGGCACCTGCCATGTAACGTATGCAAGCTATGTGGAGTACCTAAACGAAGAGGCCCTCAAACAATGGTGAACTATTTTTACTAACAGTCTTAATTCTATTTCCTCTTTGGTATAAGAGCCTTTCATAAATTTGAATATTCCTATTATCAGCAACCTTTCTTCTCCAAGCATTCTCTTTTCCAGTCCCTTTAACCACCATTTCAATGATTAACTCCTCCCAACCATTCTGGTCCTTTCTTTAGATCATAGTTCAGGTTGTCACTGACCCTCAAGATCCAAGAGAGGTTTGCCCAGCAGAAGGCAGAGCACTGCCATGACCTCCCCTTGTTCTGGACACCACAGTTGTCACAACAGACTCAAGGGAAAACCATGCTGCCACCATGAAACTGCAGAGACGGTACAAACAATGACCTGCACGACTGGCTGGTGCCTCACGGGCTACGGAGAATGTGGAGACCACAAAGGTTTATACTCATGGTTCCAGGCAAGTCAACAACGCCACAAGTAAGTTTTCTCGTGATTCTTTGACCTTAGCAGTTCCCCAAACTATAGATTCCCACTTTAGGAAGAACTCAGACTCGGAAGCCCAGACATTTTACAACTCAGCTGACTATCTTCTTGTTGATATCACTGCTCAAGCATGAAAGACAGGATTTCTGGGGTTCCCACCATGACCTTAAGTTACTCCCATAAAAACAAAAACCTCTCCCCCACAGCCTCTTGCTCTGTACTTTTACCACAGGGTATGTGGAGGAAGGGACTTGATGCGGTCTTCTCTGCTGGGCTCTTGAACTGGAAAGAATGAAAAGAGTGGGACAAAATACCAAAGTCTGAAAAACATGGTTTCTCAAACTGGGTTTTTCAAACAGGTTCAATACTTTAAGTACTCTGAATTCTCAGCCACACATGCTCCAGTTAAATTAAATACAAAAATGTGTACCAAAAGCTAGCCAATTATTTTGGATTATCCGCGCCTACTACATTTCCTGTTCAGTAGGGCAGAAAATGGAACTGAATATAACTTCTATTTTATACAATACTTGAGTACTAAAGCTATGTGTGAAAATGATAGAAGATCATGTATACAGTTACAGAATAGCATCTCTACCTTAAATATCCAAGTAAATCTGAATTATTTTTTATAGTTCACCCTTGATGAAAGACAATACTGAGGCAGACAAGCGAATACTTCAAAGAGCAATAATCCCTTATAGCTCTTCTGTATATAACTCATTTGATCCCTGCAATAGCTCAGTAAGGCAGATATAACAGATGAATGACATTGCATTTAAAGCACTCTATAAATGACAAAACATAATCCAAACATACAGAAGAGACTGACATTAGAATACCCACATTAGAGGTGAGAAAATGAAGACTCAGAAAAATTTATGCCATTTGCCCAAGATGGGCATTTTTCACCCTAGCCTAGGGTTCTTCCTACCACACCACAATGCCACCTCTCCAAGACTCTGTTCCAATAGCTATTCCAACAGAGACCAGACAAGCAACGCTCATCACAAGGCTACCGCTACACAGAACACAGGACCTGAGTTTCAGCTGCTGACCTGTCAGATCCATTATGTTCTGGAGCCCTTCTGCCTGGGTTAAGAGCCTGGTTCTACACTTACTAGCTATTTGACCTTGGGCAAGTTATCTCATGATTCTGTGTTCAACTGCTTCATCTGAAATGGGGACAACAGTACCCAGTTCAGAGGGTTTATATGAGGGTTAAATGAATTAAGAGAGTTAAAAACAAAAAGCCCTGAAGGGTTCTATCCTAGGGGCTCTATTGTTATACTACAGCGCTATGACTGCACACTCCTCTATTATAGTAAGCATTCAATATATATGAGCAATGATTATATTAATATGTAAGGAAAATCATATACATTTTCAGAATACTCAAAACTATGTATCCTACTTTACACAATGCCCCAATTTAAAATAATCTTCGTGCTGTTGAAATCAGACAGTCTTCATTTTGGCAGCTACTCTGTTGCAAACAGTAGCATATCCTCCCCTGTTAAGGATCATGGCTGAGAAGACAGGTGGAGAAATGATGACCCCCAATGGCTGAAAACAGGCATTGGCAGCACGCATGGTCACCATCCCGCAAGGGGCACAGCACAGCTCCCCGGCCCGGCTGCCGCGCTGCTCGGACAGCAAACGGTCTGCTGCCCGTGGGCTCTCAGTTATTGGCATTAAGCTGCTGCCTGAAGATCTTAAAGGGTGAAAGGAAGCAGGGAGAAGAGAAATTTCAGAGACTGGCAATCGCAGGAGAGTCAGGTGGGATTTGAGGTCAGGCTGTGTGGTCCTCACAGGGGACAGACTAGTGAGAAGGGGTCAAAAACAAACAGCCTGTTTTTCCAGGTATTTGTATTTATTGGTGTGACTCTCCCAGAAAGCAAATATCCTACAGCTGCATCAGGTCTACAACGTGGCATGTCTCCAAACTATTCTGTTGACCCATTCACAGACTCCACTTCACTGTAGACATTTTAGATGATCAGAAAACATCCCCAATTATCTGATAAGGCTATTAAAATACTTCTCCTTTAAAGCATTAAAATGTTTTTCTAACTACATACCTGTGTGAGGCTACATTTTCTTCATATGCTTTAACCAAAACAATGTATCAAAAGAGTGTAGAAGGAGATGAGTTCCCAAGTGTCTTCTATTAAGCTAGACCTTAAAGAAATTTGCAAAGACATAAAGCAGTGCCACTCTTCTCACTATATTTATTTCTTAAATAGTTATTTTTAACTTATTGATTTCCTTGTCTATGAAAATGGGATAAGAATTGTACCAACTTTGATGCCTACGCCTTCCATACTGGCTCTGGGTTTTGCCTTGTGGCTTGCTTTGGCCAGACATTACTAAGTACAGTGAAAGCAGAGGCTTGAAAAATGCTTGAGTGTTAGGGCTTGCCCGCTTTCTTGCTTCTTTTGGAATCTAGCCACCATATCAAGAAGCCCACAGTAACCTGCTGGACGCAATGTGACCCAACAAATAACCAGCATAAACAGCTGTGGTTTTTTTGGCCATGCTATGTCACATGTAGGATCTTAGTTCTTTGACTAGGGATCAAAACCGTGCCTCCTGCAATAGAAGCATGGAGTGTTAACCACTGAACCACCAGGGGAGTCCCAATAGCTGGTCTTTTGAGTGAATCTTATACAATCCAGCCACGTTAGAGTCACCAGTTGACTGCAGCCACACGAGTGACCTCAGGTAAGACCCACACAAGAGCAGCCCAGCTGAGCCCCAAATTACTGATCCACAGAAACTGTAAATTATTATTAATTCACTAAATTTGTTTTTTTTTAATGTAGCAATAGTTCATTAATATGCCAAATGTGGCTACCCTTTACATAAAATAAACTGTAAAGATTTACTGTGTAACACAGGGAACTATCAGTCAATATCTTATAATAACCTATAATGGGAAATAATTTGAAAATATATATGTACATGCATAACTGAATCACTTTGCTGTACATCTAAAACTAATACAGTATTTTTAATTAACTATAATTTTTTTAATTACACATATTCTTTAGTAACGCTCACATTTTTATCAAGTTCAAACTGCCAACTGTTAAAAAACATTTTTAAAACAGTAATGTAGGAATACTTGTTACTATAATTGCTTAAACTTGCATAGCACCCTGTATTAAAGTTCTTTCCTATATATATATTAAACCAGCTCTCAGGGTGTAGTGTGGTCTGCAGACCCCGGAGAATCTCCAATCAAAACAATATAACAAAACAGACAATGCAGAAGCAGGTGAGATCCAAGTGCCCTCCTTTAAGCTAGGCTTTAAAGAAACTTGCAAAGATGTAAAACAATGCTATTCTTCCCACATTTATTTTTTAAATAGTCATTTTTCATAAAAATATTCATTTGTGATAAACTGTAACAGGTATAGTACTGTTACTTTTAAGTGAATCAACTAATAATTATTTTAATAAATTAATATTAAGAGCATTAAAGGGGGCCTCAGACTTAAAAGTATGAGAACCACTGCAACCTCGTAACTACTCTGGGAAGTAGACAAATAGCAAGTTTAACCTACTTTTTACAGACGAATGTACAGGTTTGGAAAAGTTAAGTAATCTGCCCGAGATTCTCAGAGCACTGTTCACAATCTGACTATGTCAGAGACACCTGGGAGCTTTTTAAATATCCATTAACTGTTGTGGGACAGAGCACAGGCACTTTTTAAGGTCCTTGTGATTCTCATGTGCCGGCCTGGTTAGGAACCACTGTCTGGGAGGTTAACAGGTGAATGTATAATTCAGTTACAGTCTCCCAAACAGCAAGCTGATGAATAAGTCTACAAAATATATTTTCTTTTATACTTAGACCACATCACTGTACATCCTGAATCCACACAAAGTTTTTTGTTTGTTTGCTTTTTAATTCTACTTACAGGAGCCTTGCTTTGCCATTCAACAGGACAGTTGTAATCATGCATGATCCAGGGGTGGTTCAAGAGATTTTTCATAGAAATCCGTTTCTTTGGGTCCACCTAGTGGCCATTGAGAGGTAGCTGGAGATTAACATTTCAAATGGAGAGCGTAGAACACCTTTTTCTCCTTAGAACTCAAAATTCATCAGAACAGATGTAAACTTTTATCATCACAAAAATGCTGTCAAAGACCTTAAAATGGCCTTGGAATAAATTCTTTTAAAAAGGGAATAGAAGCAAGAGAACTATAGCAACCAACACGGCTTAGAAGATAAATGTTTAACAAACATGAACTTCATTGGTATGGACATTATTCATGAAGTTCAGTCAATCTATTGTATGATGTAATAGTCTTTTGCTGGAAAACCTATTCACAGGAAATATTCACCAATTTAATATTCAAGCAGCCACAATGCAGGGCATTCACACTGAATATGCAATCTCTACCTCCGGTGAGCTTACAATCACATAGAACAAGTTGAAAAGCATACCTTTCTTTTCCATTTGTAATTTTCAAATGTGAGGAAAGGAAAATTAATCAACACAGATTAAGTTTTGGGGAGTTTAGAAGAAAGGATGAGGTGTTTTCAATCTCATTATGGAGATTTGGTGGTCTGGCCTACTTAATCAAGGTGGGTGAGCTTGAAGTAAATTTTGAATAAAAAGTAGAGATGGCTTAATAGATGGAAAACTGAAATACATAATAATGAAAAACATACTGCACTAATAAGGTACTCATATTTTCAAAGTGTTTCCTATTAATCTCATTTTATCCACATAGCACTGTGTAGCAGTGAGGCCAAGCTCAGAATCCCCATTTTCAGGTCAGAACCAGGTTAGGTGGCTTGCCTATTGATCTGTAGGGAGGATAACTAGCCTTCAGCACTCCTATCTTTCACCTTCAGAGGTCAACACACCAAATCAGTGATTCTTAAATGTGGACCCCAACAGACCAGCAGCATCAGTGTCATCTGGGAGCTTGTTAGAAATGCAAACTCTTAGTCCTGCCTCAGATCTATAGAATCAGACACTCTCCGTTTGAAGGCCAGCAATCTGGGTTTTACTCAGCCCATCTGGCAATTCTGGTAGATGCTAAAGTTTGAGAACCACAGCACTAGGTCAAGGGCGCACTCAGCTGTACATCAGCTCGTTCAAGCCTTTATTCCACACCTACTATACATCTAGCATAAAAAGATGCGAGCAAGAAAACAGAAAACAGTGGAGCAAGAGATGATTAAACTGACAGTTCTCAAGAAAAGGGAAGAAAAACCAAATCACCAGACATATATTAGCTGTCTTTAAAAAAAAAAAAAATGCAGGTCTTCCCTAGAGGTCCAGTGGTTAAAACTTCACACTTCTACTACAGAGGACGGGGGTTCGACCCCTGATCAGGGAAGATCCCACATGCCACATGGTATGGCCAAAAAAAAAAAGTTGCATTTGCAAAGAAAGCACTAGTAGAAAATATTTGCAGAATAGATATAATGAATAGAATTTTTTAAAGGTGATGTGTAAATGTAGTAGCACAAACATCTTAAAATCAAATAACTGCAATAGACTTCTATTATTTAAAAGTAAATAACAAAGATTACCTGTAGCATTTGCTGAAGAAGTAGAATGCTACTGGGAGAGAGCCACTTAGGAACGTCATATTTCCCTCTCTACAAAAAAACAAGAAAAGCATTAAAGAGATTAGGTTCAACCAGCCTTAACAAAAATTTCTACAGTTAACAACATGCTAGAGATTTACTTCCAAGCTTGAAGACTTCACCCAACTTTAAGACATGGCAAACATATATCTTACAGGCCTTTGGAATCTATAGTATTACTAGTGGACAGAAGTATACACTGTAGACATGTTCATATTGCTAAAGCAAATTTTAGTTTATAGTCCCAGAAGAATTGTCAGTTGACAAAGTTAGGTCACAGAAAAGTGTATTTGGTAACTGGACACAGGCTGTGGTTACACACGGGTCACGTGTCACCTACAAGGCAGAATTCACTATCACTGAAGAAAGCCACCCCTTTAGGGAATGGAAGAGACTCAGGAGACAAATGCTGACAACCTGTTAGACATGACAGTCACTAAGTCATCAACCAAAACAAGACTAGAGGCTTGCTGAACACTAACACATGATAGAATAGTACCTCTTCACGCAGCCTGTCACACACCCCTCTTTCCCAATTCAAAGGAAATGACAGAATCATTTTTCTTAGCAGAGAACAAATTGTTTAATGATGCTAGGATAACAGGTTAATTGTATGAGAAAATTAAGATTGAACTGTAATTCAAAATCTACATCAAAATTATTTCTACCCAGATTAAAGAGTTAAATGCAAATACAAAACCATGAAAATACAGAAAGCATCGGTGATTAGTTTTTAGAACCTGTCTAGACATGACAGCAATACCAAAAACTATCAAGATTAACAGATGACAAAATTAAAAACTGACATTTCTGTATAGCAAAACACAACTAACAAAGTTAATTAAAAAGTGAGTAGGGGAAAGCCTCTCCACCTAAATGACAAAAGACTAACCTACTTTATCACGTACAGAGCTCTCACAGATCACCACCGACCCTCCTCTCCCAACATTTCCCCTTCACAGCAAATGGCGATTGCCTTACCCACTCCTCAGGTCAGAAACCTTGGATCATGGGCTTCCTTGGGGGTCCAGTGGCTAAGACTTCACACTCCCAATGCAAGAGGCCTGGGTTCAATCCCCATCAGGGAACTAGATCCCACATGCTGCAATTAAGAGTTTGCCACGCCACTACTAAAGATCCCGCTGGCTGCCAAGTAAAGAACTTCAATGCCACAGTGAAGATCTGGCTTCAGGCCCAGCGTGGTCTGTGCCCCAAATCTACCAACTCCTTGCTACCTCTCAAACTCACCTGCTCACTCTCTCCCTCACTCACCAAACTATGATCACAAGTCAAACACAGGGCCTGCCTTAGGTCCTGTGCACACTTTGTTCCCACCACCATCGTGCTTTCCTCAATATCAGCAGAGCTTGTACCTTCTTCAGGTCTCCCCTTAAAAACCAGTGGTATCAATGAGGTCTCCCCAAACCACCATTATAAATGGCATCCTCATGCACCATCATCTCTACCACCCTTCCAAGGCACCTTCTGTACAGTCCTTATCTCCACTTGCCATACTACATATTTATTTATTTTCTCTATATTTATTTGTTTATATGTCATACTACATATTTGTTTGTTTATTTTGTGCACACACACACACCCAGCATATTTATTTTGTTTAAATATGTCATACTACATGTTTATTCATTTATAAACACATATTTGTTTATAAATATGTCATACTACATATTTGTTTATACATAAGAAAATATTCTAATGTATTCTATTTACATTAGAATATAAACTCTTTTAAAAAATCACAGGGATTTTGTCTGTACTGTTCACCTAGAACACTGTTTGGCCCTAACATAAAAGGTGCTCAATTAATATTTGTTGAATAAATGAAGAAATAGGATAAAAGCATATACTCCAAAAGAAAATGGACAAAGAATATTCACAATTCCAAAAACAAGAGCTTTTAAATGGTCAATAAACATGATAACATGTTCAACTAATCTAGTAATAAAAAAGTAATTAATTTAAACAAAAATATGGTCTAAATTGATAAACTTCAAAAAAAATTATCCAGTGTTAAGAGTTCAGGGGCAAGAGCACTTATATATACAACGAGAGAGTAGAAACGTTCCTGAAGAGTACTGCGGACATATGTATAAAAAGCATTCAAGATCAAATATCCTTGATCCAGCAATTGCACTTCTAGCAATTTATCCTAAGCAAATAAATTGGCATAAAAAAGTTATTACTGTTATGAACAGTAATATTCATCACACAATTGTTTGTGATAACTATGGGGACTACGGAACATGGTCTGGGAGAATCCAGAGGGTCCCCAAAACTAATCAAAGACAAAATTACCTGAATAAGGATCCTGAGTTAGAAATCTATTACAGGTCCAGGGAGACGAGGGTGTTAGGTAGTTAGAATAGGAAAGAGTAGTCCAGAATGGCGTCAGCTAAAGGACAAAGATGGGAAAAGCCCTGGAAAATAGAACAAAGGAAGGTCCAAGGACGGGTGTGAGGACCGCAGGTGGAACAAACTGCCCTCCTGGCGAACCCAATTTACACAGGGCAGGCTCAGGGGGAGGAGAAAAAACATAGAAAAAGAGGCGCCAAAATCGAGCCCCTGGCCTCTCTTCTCAGCATCTTTTGGGTCAGCCCGCCCTCATGCCTCAAGGATGTATTTTCCTTTGCTTGCCAAATAAAACAGCTGTAACACTGGTCCCTCCATTGCTTCAAATGTTTGCTGCGGTGAGACAGAACCAAGGAAATTACAGACTCCCCTGACCACGGCAAGCGCACACATGCGCATGCATGCAGGTACACGCACATGCGCGTGCACACACACACACCCACACCCAGCAATGACTGGACTAGGCTGGGACGGCAGAGGCAGGCAGGTGGAGAAGCCATTGGCTAGCAGCTGCATTGCCTTCTCTGTCCTCATGAACTGTCTAGGACACAGTTCTCACAGGAACCAGTCCAGCTTAAAGGTGAGGCGAGGAATGGGCAGTACAGACCACTCAGAATCTGAGACCTACACGACAGGCTGGACTTTGTGTTAAAGAAACAGTCAAAGTTTCAAAGAAACGCTATCAAGCAATTTATTTAAAAAGAAAAGGTGCTAATATTAAAGCAACTCAACCTCTTACTCAGCCTCTCTGATGGGAGCAGACAGGTTGACCTACAAAGTGTTTCCTAGGAAGGGCAAGAGCTTTCATTTTACAAATGACATTTAATGTTATTAAGTTTTTCACTCTCCTTTAGCTAAAGCACTCACTGCTACCTGGAGATCCCATGCCTATAGGCCTTGCCAGGGCACCTACACACATGCCAATGTCAGGTGCTGACGTTTGTTTCTGAGCTGTAATGCGAAGCCTCTAATTCACTTTTCCTTACTACCCCTCATCCACCAAGCACTGAGCCTCAGTGCTGCCTAGGCTCAGGCTTATCCCTGAGAAGGGGGACTTTTAGATGCTTCAGCCACCTTGCTGGGATTCAGCACCAAGTCACATGCAAGACAGGCCGTGACTTGGCTGGCCCCACTCTCTTATCTCAGCTTTTCCCTATTCCTGCATCCAGATGTCTCTCATGATTCAAACCCTGGGTACCTGACATGTTCTTTTTCCTGGCAAACCGATCGTTTGCCTGGTACCTCAAATACCATAGCCTGCTCTTACCAGGGTCCTGCAGAAAACAGAGACAGCCTGGGGTTGTCTCTACTATCTACTTACACTGATCAGAGGGTCGTGATCTGAGTCTGCAACCACAGCCTGCACGGCCTCAAGTGTCCTCTGTCTTGCTCACGGGTCAGAACCTCCATGGACTCCAGTGGGTCTCTGCTCATGCTGACTGCTTACTCTCTGGATACCAACTGCACAGGGTTGAACAATGTCCCCCCAAAACTTAAGTCCACCTGAAACCTGTGAACGCACCCTTATTTGGAAACAGGGGCTTCTGCAGAAGTAATCAAGTTAAGATGTCCTGGGTTAGGCTGGGCCCTAAATCCAGAATAACTGGGGGGTATTCTTATAAGAAGGGGGGCACTTAGACGCAGACACACAAACACACAGGCAAGAAGGCCACACGAACACAGAGGCAGAGGCCGGAGTGACACACCCATAGACCAAGGGCCGCCGAGGACCGCCGGCAAACACGAGAAGCCAGCGAGAGGCAAGAGGAGTCTCTCCAGACCCGTCAGAGGGACCATGGCCTGCTGACACCTTGGCTTTAGACTTCTAGTCTCCAGAACTGAAAGAGTCAATATCTGCCATGTTAGGCCACCACCTTGTAGCACTCTGTGACAACCACCGCAGAAAACGAACAGACCATCTCTAAGGGTTTAATTTACTTGCGCTACCTCTCTCCTGCCATCACCTACCCACCCAGGGAGAATTCTGGTTCCAGATTCCAGCCCTTTCTGGTCTGTTCCAACACACAAACAACAGTTCCTAACCAGAACTATGATAATGAATGCTATGCCATTAGATCCCAAAACTACCATCCAAAACACAAGTACTCTCAACTAAAAATAGCAGAATTCTACAGAAATCAGCTATAAAAATGAGTTTTCAGACCAAAGAACTAAATAACAGGAGCCACCAGGCTGATTCCAAGTTTCCCGTCGCCTCTGATTTCTCACCCCTTCAATCACCCTAACTTGAATTCACGAAGTCTCTCTTCATAGATCCCCTGTGCTGTGTGTAAGCTAGTACTTACAGAAGCAACACCACCCACAGGGAGGCAGGGAGGACACGTGAACGAGACGAACGGTGCTCGGCGCACTGGACACAGGCAGCGCCAGCAGTCATGCTCTGCATCTGAGCCCGTCTGCCTCTCATCTGCTCCTTGAACCTGTACAACTTAGGTCATTTTTCTGACCCTGTTTCCTAAGAGTAGGCTCTGGAGACAAGCTGTCTATATCCAAATGGAGGACCTACCACTTACTAGCTGTGTGGATGGGCTATGTAACCTCGCCGTGCCTCAGTTTCCTCATCTGAAAAATAAACACAATAATCGTATCAACTCCGTAAACGGCTGCTAGCATTCAATGAC